AGCTCAATAGGCACGTAAAAAAACCCCCTGTGTTTATAATAAAAGTGTTTTCAGGGCCAGCAGGTGGCATGGTGGTTAAGGTGCTGGACTCCCACATGGCCAACTACAGTTTGTGTCCCAGACCTGGAGGCTTGCTTTCTCATTCTTCCTCTCTGTCTCTGGTCAAGTTGAAGAATAATAATAAATAATTAAAAAGAAATCATTATTTTTTTAAAAAAGAATTGTTTATATTAAAAGTGTTTTCAACTTTTTCTATAAAAGATTACTTAGATATTCTAATATTGATGTTTCATAGTAGATAGTCATTATTTCACTGTAAGGAAATGAAACTAGAGCTTTATTATGTTTGTTGTCTAGAAGACAAAGGTATATAACTTGATAGATTAAAGAAATATTGTGTTTGTCATATATAGAAATTACTAATAGTAATCTTAACACAATTATATTGGTCTAATCAAGCAAGTCCCAGTGATTTTTATGATTCAATATAATATACAACTAAATCTATTAATTGTAGCATTTATTGAAGTTTTATTTGTATCAGTTTTATTGTGACAATATCACAGAATTCATTCATATAAAGTGTAGAATTCAGAGACTTTTTACTGTATTCACAGTGCTTTGCCTCTATCACCACAAACATTTTTTACCCTCCTAAGCAAAACCACATATCTTTGGCAATCACTTTCCATTTCCTCCCAACTCCCTGCCTTAGCAATGACTAATCTATCTATCTCTACAGATGTGCCTATTCTGGACATCTTATGTAAATGGGATCATACAGTCTGTGGTATTTTGTAACTGTTATTCTCACTTAGCATAATGTTTACATGTTCACATTGTTTGTGAATTGTCCAAATTTCTTTGTTACTGATCTCTAATTCTATTCCATTATGGTTAGGGAACTCTGTTGTATGATTTAATCCTTTTTAAGTATATTGAGGCTTGCATTTTCACTTAACATTTGGTCTATTTTAGAGAACGTTCTATATACATTTGAGAAGAATGAATACTCTGCTGTTTTGGAATAGAGTGTTCCATAGGTGTCTATTAGATCTTATTGATCTTGTTTAAGTCTTCTCTTGCTCTGCCTAGTTGTTCTGCCCATTATCTAAAATGGCATATTGAGGTCTAAAACTGTTATTTTGTAAATGTCTGATGTTTTTGTTCAGTTTCATTAATTTTTTCCTAATGTATTTTGGGCCTTTTTATGGGTAAATACATATTAAAAATTGTTGTATCTTTCTCAGAGATTGAACCTTTATCATTATAAAATGTTTCTTTATCTTTAATAACGTCTATTGTATTTAAAGTCATTTTATTTTTGTTTTAAAAATTTGGTAGAGGGTGAATGGGAGAGAGAAAGTGAGAAAACATCCCTTTTGGGAATGATCACATTTCAATACTTTCTCCTCCATTTTTTGTTTGTGTTTGTGATTTTGGGGATACACACATACACACTGAGCATGTTTTTCAAGCTCTCAGATCTGGGATTTGAACTGTGTATTTGGCCATGTGGGATCTAGTCACCTTAACCTCTGTGCCACCAGTTGGTGCCTAAAGTCTATGTCGGAATTAATGGGTATTAATGTAGTACTCCAGTTTTTATATAGTTGCTTTCATGTAGTTGGTATTTATATCATGTCTTTTTCCATGCTTTTACTTTTAACCTATTTGTGTCATTAAATCTAAAATGTGACACCCATAGATAGTACCTAACTAGATATTGTTTTTAATCCAGTCTGACAGTTTACATTTCAACTGTCTTCTATAATTTCATTATTACCTATTTGTTACTGGTCTGGTCATGCCTTATCCTCTTCCAGTCCTCCAGCCCACTGTCTCATAGGCACTTACATGTAGTTCAGCCTGTTTCAGACTGACCAGGCTAAGGATTTGAACTGCACTTGCCACATGGATTCTGGCTTTTCTTGAACAGAACATCATTGCTTTATCCCAGAGACAACCTGGTTAAGGTTTAAAGGCTTGCTTAAGACAGGGTTTGAAATTATTTATTGACTTACTCAGGTGTTATTTAATAGTATTTATGTGTGTTAAAAATATTTTCATGTAATAAATATCTTTATAAAATTAGCTAGGATATTTAGCAAATGATTACTTAAGGTATGTTTATTGTGGAACTACAATAGTAGAAGGGGAAAACAATATTTTGAGTATATATAATTTATGTTATCTATTTAATTTGGTCTTTTTGATAGTTCTTTATAGATCCTCAAAAGGGTTCATTTTTATGTATGAAAAAGATGAGCACGATCCGTGAATTTTTATTAATTTATGTATGTACATTTGTATGATATAGGGCACGTGTACTCTCTAGAGGGAGAGACAGAGAGATATAGTGGGGAAAGGAAAGTCAGAAAGCACCCCTCAGAGAGTGTGGCCATGCTGCTTTCCCTTGTCCTCCATTCTCTTCCTGGAGTTTTGGCACACATGTGCATATACCAGGTGTGTTTTTCAAGTCCACAGATTAAGGACTCACGCTGTAGGCCATGTGAGATCTAGTTGCCTTCATCATCATGTTGCTGGCCGACCCAACCCCATTAATTTACAGAGAATCAAATCTGTATTTGGAAGGAGATCTTGGAATTGGGCAAATCTGGTAGGAATTTTGTCCTCAAGGGGCACATCAAATTCTTACCCAAGCCTGCAAGAAAAAAAATCAGAGAGAATTACTGTTGCACATAGCTTTTTTTTTTAAAGAATTATTTTATTTTAACTTTATTTATTATTATTAGCATTATTATTTTCCAGTTTGATCAGAGAGAGACAGAGAGAGAGAGAGAGAGAGAGAGAGAGAGAGAGAGGAAGTGAGAAAGCAAGCCGCCAGGTCCGAGACTTGAACTGTGGTAGGCCATGTGGGAGTCCAGCGCCTTTATCCACCAAGCCGCTTGCCAGCCCCGCACATAACTTTTGGATTGCATTTCTCCCTTACTTTAATTTTTATATTTTTATAGTTTCAGAAAGCTGTTGTTTTTTTAATTTTTCTTTTTTTTTTGAGTGGGTTTTTTTTTTTTTTTTTTTATTTTCCGTCCCGCTCTCCAGACAGACAGAGAGAGACATAGAGACATCCCCCGGGGGGATGGTCACGCCGCAATCTCTTCTCCTCCATTCTCCTCCCGGGATCTTGGGCACGCACGCACATGCGCCCGGCATGAGTTTTAAGCCATCGGGTCCGGGACACGAACCACGGTCGACTACGTGGGAGTCCAGCAACATAGCCATTACGCTAACTGCTGGTTCCCTGTTTTTTTAATTTTTAATTTAAGTCTTCTGATTCAGCTATTGCTTATTTTTGTGTGAAGAAACCAAAGATCAAAAATGATGCATTATTTAACTCAAAAGTTACAGGATCAGTAACAATTAAAAGTAAAAATCCTTGATTTTTGAGTCACTTATTTTACAAGCATGAGCATATACTACATTAGTTATTTGGTGATACATATTTTTAAAAAATTGGTCCCTATGATAGCGTAGTGGAAATACAACTGAACCTTTATGGAAAAGATCCTGTTTTCACATCCTGAAACCTCCCTGAGCACAGTGAATGTGTATTCACATGGCTGTGATATGAGCTGACTGAGACAGGATGGATTGTGACATGAAGATCCTATTGTGGGTGCCCCCTCTCTTATTTGTGTCTCTCATGGAAATTAATTGATTAATTAATTTTAAAAATCTGTTATTCTTAATTCAAAGCATACACAGTTAAGAGAAAACATGTATAAAGTAGCAGTTACTATTTAGACTGGTATGCCCTGGTAGAGATGTGTGAGTGATCTAAGACCAAAAAATAGATCTGTATTAGTCAGGGAAAACTTTCTGGAAGAGAAAGACTTTGACAATGAATGTCCTTTTAATTGGCTGTGGTGAAGGTGGCTAGTATGATTTCAATACAATCTCAATAGCCACTTTTTAATTTGTGTCTCAATCCAAATTTCTTTACCTTAACTTCTGCAATCTCAGTTATGCATTCTCTAATACAAAATTAACTAATCACTTTTCCATGGGAAAGCTCTTCAACTATTAAAAACCTGTATGTCTCTTTTAAATGCTTTCTCCAGGTTTTTCTTCGGCTATTACATATCTCTTTTGAACAGATAAACATTGTTGAAAGATGTTGGAAGAAAATGTTAATTGAAGCATTTGCGCACCGTGGTTTCTCCCCGCTAGTGAAAGTGTAGTTTGTGATGGTTGTTGACATTGATCTGTCTGTTTTTCCTCAAGAATTATTTTTTGCCAGTTATTATTTCTGACAAGTTAGAAATTATTGCATATTTGTTCAGTATAAGTCAGTTATTATAAACTGACGTAAATCTCTGAGAAGTCATGTCACATTTTGGACATATTTTGACCTATTTGTCAGTTTATACCATTAAGTTTTTCCTTTTTTTTGGGGGAGAGGTTTTTGCTATAGGGTGTGTCCGCTCGCCAGACAGAGATAGAGAGAGAGACAGAAAGCGAGAAATCACCCACCGGGGGGATGGCCATGCCACAATCCCTTCTCCTCCATTCTCCTCCCAGGATCCTGGGCACGCACGCACATGCCCCTGGCATGAGTTCCAAGCCACCAGTTCCGGGTCGCCAACCGCGGTCCACTACGTGGGAGTCCAGCGACATAGTCATTACGTTAACTGCTGGTCCCCCATTAAGTTTTTTCTAAAAACCATTGGTCTGTCTCACTTTTTCCATGTTAAATTTTTAAATCAAAATTTTCCCATACTGAATTTTTTTCCCTTTTTCTTAAACCAAGTATGGAATGTTTCACCTAGTTTTTTTTAACTACCATATTGTTAGTCATTCTTCTAATTTGTTTAGCTCACATGTAATCTTTGTTTATTTCCTCAGGTTTCATAAAAATTTTCTTTCTCAGTGAAGCCTTTCCTAAGGGAGATATGGGGGGAATCCTAAATAAAATTTTTATTTTTTAAAATGTCAACGTATTTACATATGTGTTTATATATTGTTTATGCTGTCTCTAGAGCATCCTGGCATTAAATCCTCGAATACAAACTCATACAACTCTGCGTTCCACGTCAGCCAAGAAATTAGACAAGAAACATTGGAAAAGAAACCCTGATAAGAACTGCTTTGTAAGTACCACTGATACATGATTTCAGCTGAAAATTATTTTGTAAGATAAGATTTTGTGTATACTTGGAAATGCAATTATTAAAGTATAGCTGTGATAGTTTTCATATTTTAAGTATTTTATATAGAATATTCTCAAAGTGTTTTTAATTTCACTGCTTTAAAAAGTCCCTATATCAGTTAAAAATTATATAGATTTATTATGGTGTCAAAATTTCTTCTCTTGACGTTATTAAGATTTTTTTAAAAGATTGTTTCATGTAATGACACAGTGATATGAAGGATTTTCCATATTATAGATATCATCTAACTGAAAAGATTATAAATTCACTGACATCTACAAAGTGTTTGAAAATATACCCTTCTGGAAACATATGCCTATTGGAGGTTTAATATGAACTTTCAATATGTCCAGGTGAAGTACAGGAAGAATTCAGTGTTCTCTGAGATTACTGATTGCTGGAACTATTTTAACTTGGCCTAGGAGGTTATCATAGGACTGGGCCTGTGAGACCACAACTGGGATATAAGTACAACCTCAAATGCAGTATTTAAAATGCCATCTTAGCAGCATATAAATAAGCGCATTCAGTAAGAAATCCTTTTTACCAAATTTCCTAAAGTTAATTTCCCAAAAATCAATTTTACCATATTAATTAGTGAGATTACTAATAATATTAGTTTATTTGCCATTAGCTCTTCAGAAATTTTTTTATACTTTTTTATCATATGTATGATTTCATGTTATTTTATTTTTGAGAGGTTTTTGCTATAGGGTGCATGTGCTCTCCAGAAAGACAGACAGAAAACGAGAAATCATCCCCCCAGGGGTGATGACCACAACGCAATTCCTTATCCTCCGTTCTCTTCAGAATCTTGGGCACGCATACATACGCGCTCGGCATGAGTTTAAGCCACCGGGTCCAGGACTCGAACTGTGGTTCACTACATGGGAGTCCAGCGACACAGCCATTACGCCAACTGCTGGTCCTGATTTTATGTTATTTTTATGTAATTCCTTTTTCCTCCCTAGATTATAAACTTTTTGAGGATGGAAATGCTGACCTGTGCTCATGTGTGTGTATTTAATTTTTATTTTTTGATCACTGGCTACCCATCATAGTTTTCTGAATTAAAAAAACAGGAGTGAAAAGAAACAATATGACTTAGAATATCACATAGACACTTAATCACAGACCTGGATTTGGAATTTGTTTTTCCTTGCCTCAATTTTGTGAGTTCTATTTTCTACCATAATGTTTCTAGAAGAGATTTCTAAAAGGACACCAATGTGGTTCAAATTAAATAAAATAATAGACAGAATAAAAGGTATGATCCTTTATAATGATGTGAACATTTGAAGGACATTGACATAAGAATAATATAATTTTCAACTTTCAACAACTTAAAAAGCTGTTAAATACATCATATTTAAATCTCTCATTTAAAAGTCATAAAAACTATGATCCAGAGAAATTAAATTACTTCCCAAAGGTCTCTAATTAATAAGTGATCATACTATTTATGGTAAAAATTTTACAGAATTTTATGTAATAGAAACTTTCTCTAGTATGATTGCTGTTGTTATTATTTTATAGAAAGTAGCATTTTAATGTCACTGTCTCCCTTGAAATATTATCTTCCTGTGACTTCCAGACATGTAGTTTCCTAATTTTCTTCTTAACTCATTGGTATTGTTTCTTTAACTCCTTCCTGACTTCTTTGTTGATGATTTTTCATCTCACTGGGAAACATAGCAATGCTCTGAGGTAGTTCTCTGTCGTTTTCTTTCTCTTTCTCTCTTTCATTTAAAATAAACACTACCTGCGTAATCTCATAACCTTGTCTCACCTTTTTCTTTTCTTTTCTTTTTTAATTTGCCAGAGGATGTATGCACTGCCAGAGAAAGAACAAGGAGAGGGAGAAAGAGCTCCTCCCACCCCAATGGGGCATGATCACGCTCAATCCCTTCTCTTCCATTTCTCTATCCTGTTGGGATTTGGGGCATGTGTACACACACTCACGGTGTGTTTTTCAAGCTGTTGGGTCTGGAATTTGAATTGTAGTCACTCATGAGGGATCTGTTTTTCTTAACCATCAGGCCATAGGGCCAGCCCTTCTCCTCACTTTTAATAGAGTCTTTGGACAGATGACTCCTGCATTTTTATTTGTAAATTTCATTTATATCCCTGGCTCTATAACCACTTGCCTACTGAATGTCTCCACATAGATGTATAATAGGAATCTCAACGTTAATATATGTATTGTAAATCCAAATTATGATCTTGGCTTGAAAACTTATTTTCCCTAAACTCTTCTCCATTGAGCTTTCATTTACAGCAAAATATAAGAGCCTTTGTTTTCTTTATTCTCTCACCTCCCATAACTACTTAAAAGACCCTTTTGGCCATGCTTTCTGAGCGGGTTCTTCAAAAAATTAATGGAAAATGCATACCATGAATTATGAATGGTTTTCAAATTCTTTTGCCTAAAAATAAATTTGTACTTTAATTCCTTTGTCCCATGGACTTTTGAAGTCTTTCTTTCTTTCTTTTTTACTTTCTTTCTTTCTTTCTTTCTTCCCTTCTTCCTTCTTTCCTTTTTTTTTCTTTCTCTTTCTCTCTCTCTCTCTCTTTCTTTCTTTTTGGAAGTTTTGCCTTAAGGTACATGTACTTGCCAGAGAAAATGAGCAAAAGAGAGACAGTGAAAGGGAAAGTCAGAATCACCCCGTGGAGGGATGACCATGCCACATTCCCTTCTCCTCCTGGGATCTTGCACATGCACATACACGTTCCCAGTGTGAGTTTCAGCCACTGGGTTGGGGACTCAAATTGCATGGTGGGCCATGTGGGAGCCCAGTGACATAACCAGTATGCCATCTATCGGTCCCCTAAGCCTTTATGTACATTTGGAATCTGGCTGCCTCTCGTCATCAAGATACCAACCACCACCATCTCTCAGATGATTGAAATTAGCCTTATAATGAAATAGCCATGCATATGGCTTTCACCTGTAGAGTCTGTTCTAAACGATACATCTAAGAAATTATTTTAAAATTTCTGTGCTCAGAATATTCAGTGATTTTTTTTAGCTCTCTTGGTATTTGCACAATTTTATTTGCACAATTGTTACCTCAGCAAGTCTTTCTCTTATCTAAAACTCTAATTTACCCTTCCTACTTAGCACTTCTTAGCCTCAATTAATTTTTTTTCATAGCACTCATTAGTAATATTTTGCATTTTTTACTCATAATTTGTTGATTGTCTTTTTCTATTAGAATGTGAAGTTCAGTAGGGCAGGGATTTTTGTGTTTTGTTTCACTAACTTTAAGAACTGCCTCTGAAAAGGTAGTTGGTATTCACTAAATATTTGTTGAATGAATGCATGCATGAATAAATGAATAGAACTGTTTTTAAATATTCTCTACATTTTTACTATAGGAATTCTTTCTTTCCTTCTTTTATTTTATTTTATTTTTTTAGGATTACATATTTTCATGCATAGTGCTTTGTATTTTCCAGAGAATCTTTGCATATTACATTTTGATTTTTACTGTGAGACTCAGATTCATTTGCTCATTTAACCGGTGACAAAGGCTAGGAAGAAGAATAAGTGATTTACTTAAATTCATTGAAATTACTTAATGTTGCAATTAGATCTAGAATTCTCGTCATCAGGATGTAATGTGTCCTTTCCAGTATATCACTTTTCCTAGTTAGAAAAGACAAATAAGATTATGAGAAAATAGACACAGCAAAGTTAAGGAAAATACTTGTCATATTTGTGATCTGTAAACTTCCATTATTTGTGAAGATAGCAAGAGTAATATTTTTAGCCAAGTCCCTTACCACCAAATATAAAAAGTAAACATAGGGGCCAACAGATGGCATAGTGATTACAACTGGACTCCCATATGGCCAACCATGGTTTAAGTGCCAGACCTGGTAGCTTGAAACTCATGCCAGGTGCATGTGCATGTGTGCTCAAGATTCCAGGAGGAAAAGGTATTTCAGCATGGCCATCCCCCCGGAGGGTGAGTTCTCACTTTCCCTCTCACTGTCTCTGTCTCTCTCTCTCCAGTGAATGCACAGGCCCTAAGGCAAAGACCTCTATCAAAAAAAAGTAATATAAATATTTATTATTTTTATTTTTCTCTTTGCTTTGCTTTTACAATGTTCTTGTTTTTATTTAATTCAAATAATCGCTAACTTATCACTCCTTGCATATTTGTATCTGGGTTGTAGGTTGGGTTGTTTTGAAGCCTCAGAGAAGACATTTTTCTTGAGGTATTGTATAGTCCTCTCTTGCTCTCTTGCCTTTCTTACGTCATTCTCTTACTTCTTTGGTGCTTGAAGCATCCATATTTCAACCACTGTATGGAGTGCTATACAAGGATGAATAAAATATACAAAAAACAAATAGTCTAAAATTATTTATTAAAGTAGACACTGATTTGGTTTAAATAAATAAATTATAAGCTTCTTAAAAAATAGCAACTGCTTGACCTGTCAGAGTGCCCTAAGAATGGCAATTCTGAAGTTTTTGCCCAGGAATTTACTGGTAGTTTAATACCGTTCTAGCACTAATTGGAAACTCTGAATTCAGTAGGGGATTTAAACTGGCAAATGTGTTTATACTGGTTAATGAAGCACGAAGCAGTTATTTCCAGTATCTTTTAAGCAGGTGTTCTATAACTGCTGTTTATTTTTGCCATTTTGAAAATGTTGAACTGTCCTAATTACATAAATATTTTGCACTCATTTTCTATGAACAATTTTTGAAAACCAGAAAATGTTATGTATCAGAAAACTTAATCTCTAGTGAAAGGAGAAAGCAAAGACAGTTAAATTCAGTCAATTATTAGACATGTTTTAAGTAATTTTAGAAAATTTTTTTCTGAATGCATGACATATAGGTGCTCACAGTAAAAACATAAAAATAAAAATAAATCATAATGTGCATTAAAAATCTATGGGCCAGCCAGTGGCATGGTGTTTAAGGA